CATACCAAATCTAATTAGGTACGGTATTGGTAAAGCATATTAAGAAACCAAATACCTAAAAATATCGAACCGAAATATTTAAACATCGTACCGTATTGACCGATAAACATCCCTGCCTCCCATAACCTAGCTCCGGTATTCGTTACTAGTCGTCTCGATGAATGCCACGTTGGACAAACGAATTTTTAAAGGCTAAATTCGTTTTTTCATTAATTGAGTGATATTTTTTTAACCAAAATTAAAGTAACAAATTAAAGAAATGTGTACTGTCCACTCTTGCATTTTTTCACTTTTTCCCATCTCTCTTGTTTCCGCTGTATTTCCATTGCAAACAACCATTACACTTCTCCATAGAATCTCCAAATAGACACCAATCAATATATTTTTAATAGTGAAATGATCAGTTCATTCTCATCAGATTTAAGGAAAAACAAATGGGTGTATTCTTTAAGCTCCAGTAAATTGAAATTTCTTGAATTTTAGGTAAAAACACTAACTGAAAAACATTAGTAATATGAAAAAAAGAAAATGCAATTTTGATTGTTCCTGAATAGAGCGAGAGTTAAGCTCTTCTTTTTTCTTTTTTAAGGATTTTGAAGAGCGATGCATGTATGTTCCATTATTGAAGAAAAAGAAAGCTAGGTGGTGGCTCACCTGGGTGGCGATGGAGAAGAGTGAAGTAGGTATAGAAATATAATTACCCTACTTTTGTGGTTAAAAAATATAACTCAGTTAATAAACTAAATAAAAATTGTTACTAAATGAATCTAGCCTTTAAAAGTTCTTTATCCAATGGAGCTGTGCCGATCCCTTATAGACATACATTCTTTTAATACTTGGTCGTCCTCAAAAGATTACGAATTCAAACTACGAACATTAAAATACCAATCTTTCAGCATATAACTAGACTAGATATAGACTATAGGGGAAAACAAATAGATATAGACTTTTTATTTCCAAAAAGATAAATGTACAAACTTTTTTTGGTACGAACGTACATACTTATACAAACAATATTCTACTTACTATTGCTTTTTGGCACTCAAGGGCATTGCATAACGATCCATCAAGATGGTGAAAATCATAAGAAATTCGGTTTAAATTCCAATATAAAAAAATATTTAGTGATTATAGTTTTACCTATATAAATTATGATGGATAGAGTTATCTGGTGAATGTGTTGATACCTTGTGGAATTATTATGGTGCTCACAAGATGACTCGATTACAATAACATCTTACCAGCCCGATAAACATGACACACATCTTCAAAACACAAATTTTACTAAAGCATAATTAATAATACACTTGTCAGCTTAATATATAACATAATCATAATAAATTAGTACGATTAAATATAACTCTCGGTATAAATAAGTTTTTCTATCTTTCAAGATTATACAAACAATATGTCAAGTTATCATTTTTTTTAAAAGTTTCAAAAATTATAACTAAAGAAAGAACGATTTGATATTATAAAAAAACAAGTATTATATAATTATATAAATAAATAGATAAAGCTATAAACTTTGTAAAAGGAAATATATTATAAAAAAACAAGTATTATATAATTATATAAATAAATAGATAAAGCTATAAACTTTGTAAAAGGAAATATAAAAACCATATTGATTGATGAGTTAAAACTGGAAAAGGTAAAGGCAGAAGACAATTAAATGGGAAACTCTTTACTAGTAGAAGAAGGAAGGAAGAGAAAGTTGAAAATGGCCTTTTACCGGCCTACCAAAATTCCAAAGGCCAAAACACATAGATCTTCCAAATTCTCAGATCCCAATACCCCACCCCTCAACCCTCTGGCAATAACCCCTTTTCACATTTCTTCTGCAAAACCATTCAAAGAAACACTCTGCTCTTAGTAAGAACAGAAACAGCATTATAGTAGGAGTAATACTGGTGAATAATGCAGAAAGCTGAAAAAGACCTCTCTTCTTTGAATTCTTGGAATTTTATTTTGTCACTGTTAGAATATCTGTCGTGTTCGTAACTATATGCATGTATCGAGTCAACTTGTCCAAAAAAGCTTAATATAAAGGGGGCATTGCGCAAAGGGCACTGTGAGCTGAAATGGGGGACTCGTTTTTCTCTCTTGTTTGTGGCACGATGAGGAAGAAGGCAGGAATGACGAATCTGCCCTTTTGTTTGTCAAGAAAGAGGTACTACTGTCCTTTCTAAATACAAGGTCATATTTGAGTTTTGAAGGTGGAGCACACAGTAGGACTCAAAGGCGGAACCATAATTTCAATCTTATGGGTTCGAAATTTTAATCGTCTTAATATTAGCTTTTAAATTAATAATTTATACATATTCAATGAATTTTATAAGACAAAAATAGGGTTCAAACCAAAGTTAGAACCTGAGTGGTAGATGTCTTGCGTGAAAATCTCTCATTTCTTCTCATTAGGTGGTTAGAAGGCAGACAGGATGGTGCCAGGCATTTATTTATTATATCAAGTTTTTTCTTAAAAACCTTTTTTTTAATCTTATAGTCCGTATATTTTGATTATGAAAGAAATGGGAAGTATTATACTATATCTTGGTACTGGATATTTTATCCCTTATTTCTTTTTATGAATCGTTTAACATTTTTAACGGGACATAAAGGAGGTGAAGGAGCTAAAGATTCATCAATTATCTTGGTCATGCATAGAGTAATCAAGAACCTCCTGACTGTTGGACTCATGGATTATATGGCCTCTGGGCCCAAAAGGAAAGACTTATCGTGTAGCCTTTATTTATTTTACTTGTGTTTGTGTAATTGAGCTCCTTGTAATTATTGAACTAGCCCATTTTATATTGGAATTTTTTTATAAAGCACTATTTTTAATAGTAATTAGCCATCTATAGATACCATTTGCTATATTACGGATTATAGATACTTTTTATGTGGTTATTAGATGTATTTGATGTATTTAAGATATTGTATTCATGAATACAGTAGCAAAAATAGGCGTGAATCAGGAAAGTCCAGTTAATCAATTGTTGTATTCGACTGTATTCATGGAGTGAAACATGAGATTACAGCTGGATAGATTATTATATTCGAGTGTATTCACGACGTGAAATAAGAGATTACACTGTTTTTAAAACGGAAAGTGAATCAATTAACATAATAGAATCCTCATATAACTCAACAAACTCAATTATAACACACAAATTTTGTATTTTCAGTTATAAAAAAGATTCTCAACCGAAAAATACCCCCAAAACATAACAATCTTCAGAGAAATTGTATAATACATCTGAATACATAAATTATATTAATTAAAAAAAAATTATGAATACATTCATGGCATATAGCGAGACAGTGAATACAATGAAATACATAGAATATAGCGGGATACATTGAAATACAATGAGAAAAAAAGATAGTGAATACAATGAAATACATGGAATACAACGAGATACATTGAATTACAATGAAAAAAAAGACAATGAATATAATGAAATACATGAAAATACATTGAAATATATTAACAGAAAATCAAGTTGCTCAGCGCTAAACTCCATCGTCTTTGTTCAAGAACAAATCAACCGAATTATATGTCGGCGACTGCTGTTCAAGAATCAGTGCATCTATTATAATGGGATGAGGCTCTGCACAAGAATCAGTTTAATGTCAAAACCCAAGCCCACTGCTACGCTGTCATCTCCCCACGCTCTCATCGCCAAATTCTCCCTCCTTCACTTGTAAGTTATAAACCGTTCTTCATCTCTGTTTTTATCTTCAAATTCTTTTTTTATAAAAGGTGCATTGATTCGGCTTTGCACAAGAATTAGTTTAATGTCGACTGCTGTTCAAGAATCAGTGCATCTATTATAACAGGATGTGGGCTTTGCACAAGAATAAGTTTAATGTCGACGGCTGCTCTCAAGTGGGCTTTGCACAAATCCGGTGGAAGGAGGAGGAGATCAAAATTTTTAATGGAATGAGGAGAGAGAATGTGATGTATCAAAGTAGAGAGAGAAAGAAAATAGTGTAATTGATTAGCGTATTTAGTGTCTTAGAGCTAGGAGGTAACCAAAATTAAATATCTGGCTATAAACCTTAAAAGGTATCTACAGAATATAATTTTTTTAAATGGTATTTATTTAAAATAAATAAGGTGTTAACCTTTGCTATAAGGAGTAAAAATTCCTTTTATATTACCTATATTTGACTTGTATTTGGGCCGTATATAAGCGGAAGGGAACCCAAATCAGCCCATCGAGATTATTTTCTCAAAATCAGATCTAGAAAGTTCCATCTTTCTCTCTTCTCTCTCATGAACCCTAACAATAATTTCTCAAATCTAGATCGATTTTCTCATGTTCTCATGGTATCAGAGCTGGATTCCGGTCAATCTCATCTTCCTCTATCTTCCGATGTTACCCTTATCGAGTTTTGTTGAGGATTTCAATCTCATGGGGGTATTGATTTTGTCTTCTACATACTGGTTTTGACGAATTTTTGGTCGATTTTAACTTCTCTCGGCGTTTTCTGAGTTGTAATTGCTGCTTGAGTGAATGTGGAAGATTATCTACAAGTTTCTGTAGTTGTCGTTAAACTCAAGAATTCTAGGGTTTCACGACTTCATCTTATTTCATCATTATTGCTGCGTTGCTGATAAGTGTTGTTTTGAAGGTCGTACTTCCAGTCGCGAAGAAATCGGTAACTCTGTGTATCTGTTTCCTTCTGCATAATATTCATCAGATAATTGTTCATTGTTGAATGTTATAGTAACACTGGGATCTACTGATGTTAATGTGGTTGACACACCTGAGTTTATTCCCAAGCCCTCCAGTCCCCTATTTGTTCAGTCATCAAATGTTCCTGGTGTTTCTCTTATACCAGTTCCCTTTTCTGGGACAAACTTTGGAGGTTAGAAAAGAAGCATTATTGTTTCCCTATCTGCTAGGAACAAAATTGCGTTTGTCGATGGTAGTTTACCTAAACCTCAAGATAATTCAATAGAGTCTAATCGATGAGATAGGTGTAATAACATGCTGATTTCATGGTTAACAAGTTCTCTATCCCCTGATATTGCGGATAGTGTCCAGTATTCTGAAACAGCTGAAGAAATATGGAGACAGTTAAATAAAAGATATGGAACAGTAGGTGGAACTAAAGCCTTTGAAATTAAGAAAGAACTTGCCTCTACCTGTCAAGGCTCCCTAGATATTGCATCATATTTTAACAAGTTAAAGAAATTGTGGGATGAATTGAGGGTTGCTCGTAAAAATCATGGAAATCACTGCACTTGTTGTGCAAAAGAAGGTATTCTCAAAGAGGAGGAAGAGGATAGACTTCAATAGTTTCTCATGGGACTTAATGAAGTCTATGTCGGTGTTAGGAGCAACTTGCTCATGATGCAACCACCTCCAACACTAGACAGTCCATATAACATTCTTCTTCAAGATGAAAGGCAAAGGCAGATCAACTCCAATTCTCAGTTTGGTCCTGATTCAGTTGCCTTCACTGCCAAAATCAACCTCAATCATCATTCTAGTCCCAACACAAATTATAAGTCTCCTGGTTCCAACACTCAGAGACAATATGTTCAAAGAGTGAATTTTGATCAAGCCAAAGGGAATCTATTCTGCAAATATTGTAAGAAGAGTGGACACCTAATTGATAAGTGCTTCAAGCTTCATGGTTTTCCTCCTGATTTCAAATTCACCAAAGGAAAGAAAATTACAGCAAATGCAACTATTGGAGCAGAGCTTTCTTCTGACTCTTCTTCTCCTTCTGTTGCTGGGACTACTAACAATGATACACAAGGTTCATTGGTACCTGGTTTAACCAAGCAACAATATTCTCAGCTAATGGCTATTTTACAACATTCTCATCAGCCTGATTCTGCTCCTCAGTCTGACCTCATGGCTTCTGCCAACTTTGCTAGTAAAGTGCTCATTCCAACAGTAGTGACTTGTTCTCTAGCTTGCATATTGAGTCAGTCTTCACCTCATAAATGAATTATTGATTTAGGAGCATCTGACCACATGACTTATAACAAAGATCTTTTAACCAACGTTACACATTTGCCTATTCCTTACCTTGTCACACTTCCTAATGGATATAAAGTTAAAGTTACTTGCACAGGGTCTTTTTCTTTATACCATTCCATCATTCTTCTAGATGTTCTCTACATTCCTTCTTTCAAACATAATCTGATTTTTGTGCACAAACTTGTTTTGTTATTGAGATGCATAACACAGTTTAGTTCTGATTCTTGCTTGCTACAGGGCCCTTCTCTGAAGATGCCTCTGGAGCTTGGTAAACTAGAGGATGGGCTTTACAAGTTTGTCTGCACTACTGCATTTTCTTCTTCAGCTCAAAATGTTTCAACTGTGCCTCATGTATATAGCTTTCCATCTTTACCTTCTACTATTATTGTTCCTAGCTCTAGTTCATTGTGTAACTCTAGTTCTTTTCAAAATATTTTGTCTCCATCTGTGTCATCTTGTAATAAAGCTATATTGAATAAAATGGATATTGTTTGGCATCAAAGACTTTCACATGTTCCCTTTGTTAGAATGAAGGGCATTTCTGCTATATCTTCCTCTTTATCTTCTAAGCAACGATTTCCTTGTGAAATATGTCTTATGGATAGATAAACCAGACTCCCTTCTTCCTCCTAATGGTTTGGTCCCCCTCTCCCATAGCTCCATTCATAGTACTCGTCCCTTTCAACTTATACATGTGGATTTTTGGGGACCCTACCACACTCCTACTTATTTTGGTTCTAGATATTTTCTAACCATAGTTGATGATTTTTCTAGATCCACTTGGACTCATCTAATGGGTTCCAAAAGTAATGCATTTTTCTTGATTAAAGCTTTTGTGTCCATGGTCAAAACTCAATTTCACATTACTATCCAAACAATCAGGAGTGACAATGCCTTAGAACTTGGGGGTAGCCATTCTGCCATTTCTTACTTCTCTGATAATGGAATTATCCATCAAACTACTTGTCCTCATACACCACAACAAAATGGTGTAGTTGAGAGAAAGCATAGAACTTTACTTGAGGCTTGTAGAGCATTGCTTTTTCAATCCAAGGCTCCTATTAGATTTTGGGGGGATTGTTTACTCACAACAACTTATATCATCAACAGACTCCCATCTAGGATCCTTCACAATAAATCACCTTTTGAAGCCCTTTACAACCAAACCCCTTCTTATTCTCACTTGAAAACATTTGGATGTCTGGCCTATGCTACTGTACCAATTCCTCATAGGGATAAATTGAAAACAAGAGTGATGCCTTGTGTCTTTCTTGGTTATCCCTTTGCCAAGAAAGGTTACAAACTTTATAACCGAGAAACCAAGCAATTCCTTGTGTCCAGGGATGTTGTATTTCATGAAGATGTCTTTCCCTTCTCTTCTTCCTCCTATGTTCCACAAACTTCTGTCACTTTCCCCCCACTTTCTCCTCCCTATCATATTTTAGATTCTTTACCTCTTACTTCTCCCACTCTTGATTGTTGATACCCAATTGTTTCCTGTATATTTTTTTCTATAAATACAAAATACTTTAAAAATAGCATATGTATGCATATATAAGTGTGTCCAAATATTTTAGTATTTTTCCTAAATTTTTAAAGATTTTTAAATTAATTTATTGCCCTATTTTAGCAGTACAAAAACCAATAATTATTCCTCAAATTATTATTTTAGTGATTAACTTATTTTATTCTCATATTTATACCAAAATATAGTTAAGGTAATTTTTACAAATTTATTTAGTATTTTTAAGCTAAATTGCATATAATTACAATTTCATCCTATTGTAAGATTTAATTGCGTTTATAATTACAAAATTGATTCCAGTAATTTTTATTTAATATTTATACATTTTTAATTAGTTTGGTACCTTTAATTTATTTCTAGAAACCATTTACTATTTTTTATAAAATGAAAAGGGGAAAAGTGGCTATTTAAATACTAGCCCTATTTCATTTCAATTGTAGCCCAAATCAACCCCCCAATTAAACCCAATTGCAATTTTAAATTACCTGACCCCTGACCCGTTTATCCAACCCGCCCGGCTCCCCTTTAGATCCAGGTCGTTGATCAAAATGATCAACGACCACGATTCTACCTTTCCTTTTTTAATTCACAAACATCCCAACCCTAAAATCATTTTCATTCACCCGCCGCCTCTGAAACCGCTCTCGTCTCTCAAACTCTCTCGAACCTTCCTTAACCCTAGTCGCCTCTCATCATCTTCCGCCTCAAAACCCACCGGAAACCATGTCTTCCCAAGTTGTGAGGGCCCTATACTCACCTCCCCGTGCTCTTANAGACCTCTGCCAATTCAAGGTTCCAGAGTCATCGCCGGCCTTGCTCTGGCGTACCATGGTGTTTTGAGCATGGTTCTGACCTCTCCGACTCAGATCAGTGACCTTTTCAAAGACTTTCTCATTTCTAGGGTTCTTTTGAAACCCTAACCCTTCGAGGTTTTCTCCGATCTCTTTAGATCCGTTGTGTATCTGTGCTCTCTTTGAGTTTTCAAACGATCTCCCTAACTTTTCTTTCGAAAATTACTTTTCAAAGTCTTTCTTTTACGATTTAGGGTTTTCTGAAAATGCTTAAGTATTTCTCTGACTTTTTTTTCTTTTTCTTTTGTGTGTATTTGCCTCTACTGTGTTCTATGTTTTCCTTCTACCATGTATGTTCTTCTACTGTGCTTTCTATATTCCGTTCTTTTATGTTTTTCTACTGTTTCTATACTATGTTCTTGTATACTTTTGTACTATGTCCTGCTATTTTCTTCTACTATGTTCTGGTATGTTTCGCCTACTGTATTCTTCTACCGTGTTCTTAAGTGTTCTTACTATTTTTCTTCTATTGAACTTTGTTTAAGTTTCTTTTAAAAGGATCTTCTTAAGCATGCTTTCTTCTACTGTTCTTATCAATCTTTTCTCATCATGTTTCGAATTAGTTTCTTTACTCTGTTTGCCTTGAACCCCTTTACTGTATTTACATGCTATTCATGAGTTCTGTTGCTGGAAGAAGCATGTTAGAAGTTTCAGTTCTTTTCTGAAACCTCTAAACATGTTTCGATTCGACTACTTGCCTCCTCATCTCTGTACTTGATTCAAGGTGGAAACCCTAGAATTTGGGGGTTCTGCCGAGGTTTGAATGAACTAGGGTTTTATTTTAGAACCCTTAACTCTTTCAGACTGACTTTGAGTCTCTGAACTGAGTTTGAACATCTTTGTTTTCATTCAATGCTGAACTTTTTGCTAAACTTTTCTACACTGGATTTGTTCTACTGATTTACATGACAGTCTTCTTTCATGCTCACATGCTCCTTATATATGATGAATTTTCCTCTAAATGGTTTCAAATTTGCAATTAGTGCAAACTTCCTTCAGAATATAGCTTGATTGATTTCTTTCCATCTTTTAATGATTTCCTCTGTTACTCGACTTAAGTAAAACCCTTCTTCATCTTTTCTGACTTGGTTCATTCATACCAAATCTCAGACCTTGTGATTTACTGGTTGTTAATTGACTCCCTTACCTTATTTGCACAAACCGTGTACTGTCAAAACTCTGTCCTTAAATAACCTTTATGTATTTGCCCTCAATTGCATACTTTACACAAAGTGATTATTCAATTCCTTTCCTTAAATGGTTTTACTCGTTTTGAATCTGAATCCCTTAATTAAGGAAAGCCTTCTGTAATTGATTGACAATCAGTTTTCAAACTATTTTCTTACCTTATTTCTGCCTGCTTTCTACACTATAAAAGGCATGACCCTTTTCACAAACACACACTTCAGACTTCAATTTCACAATCTCTTTTGAACTCGCACTTATAGTTTTCTATCTTCCTGTTTGCACTTTGGCTTTTACAAGACTAATGCTTTTCTACTTATTTCTTTGAAACTGGTATGTCCTGATTTAAGTTTCAGCATCACCCCAATGTGTTTACTTACAGTCTTTGTATCCATGTCTACTTTATTATTTTCTGTAGACTTCGACATTTAGCTTAGTATGCCTATGTTCTACTGCCTGTTTCTGTTGTGAATCTTTGCTCCCTATCCCATTACCCCTATGTGTTTGTAAATGGTGGCTTAGGGCATGGTAATATGAGTTGTTGTCCATGAACTAAGCTTTGAACCAATGGGGTCTTAATATGGCGATATATTTAGATGTAAGCACTGCTCGGAGTTCTTATGAAACTCTTAGGGAACTCTGACACACCCAAGTGGTAGAAAGGCTTTGAAACATGATCTTTGGAGTTGGTTTACTTCATACTTCAGACAGGAAGTCTGAATCAGGCTCTCCTTGGTTGTAATTTT